ATCATTGGTCATTGGTCATTGGTCATTGGTCATTGGTCATTGGTAATTGGTCATTGGTCATTGGTCATTGGTCATTGGTCATTGGTCATTGGTCATTGGTCATTGGTCATTGGCCATTGGCCATTGGTCATTGATCATTGATCATTATTCAATAGTCGTTGCATTGTCTATTGGTGATTTATCAATGGTCATTGATCATTGGTCATTGATCATTGATCATTATTCATTAGTCGTTGGTCATTGACCATTGGTCGTTGGTCATTGATCATTGGGCATTGATCATTGGTCATTGATCATTGGGCATTGGTCATTGTCAGTCAATATTGGCAACTGAGCTACTTCTTTAGCATTTCCATTGCCATTTATTTTGCCATTCCATAAGCAATCCAAATTGTTTTTCAACTCCAGTTCTTAGTTAGGCTATGATGCCAGCTTAATATTAAATAAATATGCATATACATTTCTATGCCAATTGTGGGGTTGTATATATGTACATATATAGCTTAAGCCATTCAGATTCCTTAACACCCACTCCGTCTGTCTCTCTCCCTGTTTCTGTTTCACTTTCTCCACAGACATTGTCATGCACATGGACAGAGTGTGGACAGTTGTTGACATGTTGGCGCTCGAAACTGTTGCATTCTTCACCATCTTTGTGTGTGTGTAAGCCACTGTCTGTGTCTGTGCGCTTGTGTGTGTTGCTTGGTTGGTGTGTTGCCTTTTCCGGTCTTTGACATTTACAACAGTTCGCTATGACAGCGTCGGGTTAGGGTAACAACGGGGCAGCTGGCTGGAGCTGTTAGTCATAGTGGGAGGCCAGAAGGGTGAGAGGGACGCCCACACATACACGCACACAGAGACAGGCACGCACACACACACACACACACACAAGTGTGTTTAGTATAACCATAATGGCGTCATAAAGATGATATCATAATTTCCTACTTTGCTTTTCTTTATTTTCTTTTCTTTTCTATTCGTTTTTTTTTTTTTTTGCCGTTTTGTTGCGCTCTCTCTCATTTTCCTGTTGCACACTTTGACGCTGCGACGCGTCGACTATTTGCCTTCAGCCGGGCTTTTCGTTTAGTTTTTCTTTTTGCTTTATAATTTTTCGCTCGTTTTTGCCTCGTTTTGTCAAGCATTTGAATTGTGGCGTCAATATTTGTCAGCCCAGCCCAGAAAGTCGCTGCCGTAAGCCAAGCTCCATAGTTGTCCGTATTACCAAGGTATTACACTCTCTCTCTCTCTCTCACTCTCTCTCTCTTCCATACCCTTTCTACATCTGTCTCTCTCCCACTCCCTTTAATGGCGCACGTCAGCAAATTGTTCCAGGAAATTGAGCGAGCTGCACTTCAAGTGAATTCCACTGGCAAATGCGACGCCATAAAAATGTGAATAAATTTAATACCATCAAGTCGGATATATATGTATATAAGGTATATATATATAATATATATAAATGTATATAAATAAAAGTAAACGCCAACTAGAAAACGGCGCGTGCCAATCCGCCGCATTTTAGGCCGGAAATACGTTGGGGGCAGCTCTCGCTGCTGCTGCTGCAATGCAGCAATGCAATTCAAATGAAAGCAAAAGGGCTGCCCCCACGGAGCCAGATTCTATTTAAAGCACTCGACCCAAGTAGGGAGCGCTGGCCATGAGAAGCGCCGAGAAGAGTGCGATTTTTTTTGTTTTTGCTTTTTTTTTTTGTGGAGTGGAAACAATAAAAGCTATGACGGCAACTATATACAGACATGTATAGCTATGTATGTGTGAGACGTATATATGTGGCATGCTTACGCTGAAAGCAGCCCAGCTTGACTGTCCCAAGCTGTATCAATCGATAGTTTTTAAGTATATCGATTGAGCTCATTGGGCAGCAAAGAAAGTCCCAGTCAGAAATATTAGCTCTATTCTAATCTTCATTCCAGACTTTATCTCTCTATTTTAATCTCCATTCTAATCCATTCTAATCTAGCTTTACAATCTATAGCTATATGAGACAGATTTCGATTTTATTAACTTGGTACCAGAAATCGATAGCTATGCATAAATTGAGTTATACAGGATAATAATCAATTCATTTTATCGATTATTCTACAAGCTATATGCATATTAAGTATGCTAGCAATTTGTTCTATATCGATTGCAAGTTTGCTATAGAAATATTGTATTTCAAACGATTTCACGAATCCATAACTAACAATCGATAATCGATATATGCTCGATATAGCTCTCGTCGATAGTTATCGATATTTCCCAGCTGACAATAGTAATCCTCGAAAGTTCTTATGGATAGCCCAGATAGAGGCATATGCCTGGGCTTTTCACAGCTTTCGTTTATCGATAGATGAGCTTAGTCCATCACTATCATTTGCTTATGTGCTTCAACAACTGCAGTAACTGAAGAGCTCCTCTGTGCCATATGCAACAGCTTCATTTGGCCTCAATGAGTTTTGTAATTATATATGCATAAAATTCTAGTGCTCCAATCGAATGCCCGAAGACTTTAGGCGTCTCTCTACTCCTCGCTCTGACGTCTGCACATATCGCTCATTAACCGTGTTCTCAGCTCTCTTAATGAAAATTCATGAAATGTATTAAACATTTTTTATGACGCCTTCGCCTTTAATGGCTTTTCGTGCGGCCACGAAGACATCGCCGCTTCGTGTCCCGTGCTTCGTGTTAACATTTAACGCACCCTTAACGATCCAGCAGACAGATGGGGAGGCTGGTGGGGCAGGCGCGCTGTGTGTGTGTGTGTGTGTGTCGAGCCGCAGCTCTGGCCAAGTTCATAAAATTTTATTTGCATTTCAATTCATTTGGTTGTTGTCTTTTATATTTTATTTCGATCATTCTTCGCCACAGAATTAACATGAAATCAGTTTAAGACAACTTGCATAAGCAAAACTCGAAACATAAATAAACCGAAGGAAATGTTATGCCCCACAAACAACAAACATAACAAAAAAAAACTAGCAGGATGACCTACTCAAATGTATATGAATAAGAGTTAAGGTTTTGTATAGAAACTAAGATTTTATCCCACAATTACTAGCCAAAGAGAATGCATAGATAAGTCCTAATATGAATGACTCTTCCAATACTGAACTACAGCCATACATCCCACCATATATATATAAATGTAGTAATCCGAATTTTCCCTCAGTTGCCTGTCTGAGGTACAACAGGATGTATAGCTATATAAACTAAGACTTGAATTTCCAATTACAGCCTGAAAAGAAATCCAAGCTATACAAACTACGATTATTCTATTGTGTGTATTGCCCAAAGTATAGAAGAATGTATCGCCTATATGTATACCAATTCAAATTACTCTACGTTTCCTGTCTAAAGTGTATCAAAATGATTGGCTAAAATGATATAAAAGCTACATTAACTAAAAATTTTGATAGCACTTATGCCCTAACCATAAATAAATAAACTAATAATTTCAATAATATCATAAGATAATATGAAATACTAAGATGTACGAATTATTGCCTAAAGTCTATCGTATATATCTGTCTATATGTACCTATCTATGTATGTATATGTAACTATACCTATGCCCATACCCATATCCATACCCATGCCTATACCAATACCTATACCCATACCCAAACCTATATCTATAACTCTACCTATACCTCTACATCTACCTATATCTATATCTATACCTATCTATATCTATAGCTATACCCATGCCCATACCTATACCTATACCTATACCTATACCTATACCTATACCCTAAAGTAATCGTGTGTATATGAACTAAGGTCGTCTACTCCGTGTAATTAAAGAGGTGTGCAACAACTTCAATCCAGACGCCAATGTTGTTGACGACCCCAAATGTGAGGCCCGCCATCAACAGAATCAGGTGTAGTTTCAGCGCCAAACGCGCACCCTTGCGAGATTTGTGCTTCTTCCGGGAAGATTGCATCAGTTCCTGCAGCCAAAGGACCTCAGCGCGTGGGTCTGTTTGGGTGCGCTTCGTTTTCGGCCCAGTTTTCGCCATCTTTGACTGATTGATTTTGATTTCGATTAATATGCATATCGATTGTCCGCAGACCAATGCAAGCAATACTTACACGCTTCTTTTCCTTCTTACGCTTGTTGCGAACCATTTGGGCAGTCATCGGACGCCTCGGTTTCTTTGACTTGGGAGTACGCTCCTCCACTGCAAGAGTTAGTGTTCGAGTAAACCGTATAACCGTATGCTTTCGCTCCTTCTTACCTGTCAACGCGTCGCGGCAAGATTTTAGGAATGATACAAATTTACGCCACACTTTCAACATTTTCCTTATAGATTTCATTTTTTCAATTTACTTTTTTTACATTAAAAAATTATTTAATGCTGACTGAAAGCTGAACTGATACAGTCTGAATACTACGACCTGCTCCCTACGATATTCCCTTTTTGACGTTTAAGCACTTGAAATTGAATTCACACGCCAACTGAGATCGTCAAGGTAAAGCTAGTTTTAATATATTTTATTTTATGGATTTATTTGTATACTATGTAGAATAAAATGACAACAAAAAGCAAGTAGAAACATTACAGTCGTGCGTTATCGACATCACAATACTCATTCACGGCCTAAATGCTGCCAGATTCATTTGCGAATTTGCCACGCCCCCAATTGGCATATATATTATTTTTGGGGACAATCAATTGAGGATGTCCGTGTTAATTTAGCTGTTTAATTATGTGTTTGAATTTCTAGCTTAGAAAAGATAGAGTTTTACTCATTTAGCCACGCCCCCAATGGTCGTAAATATATCCACCATATCTTTTTGAACTTGTGTGCTTAAAGGAAGTATACGTTCCAAATTTCAACTCTCTACCTACTTCAACTACCGGAAAGTGAATATTCCGATTCGCCACGCCCCTAGTGGGTGGGAGGGGAAAATCTTGACAGTTTGCATTTTAAGCATGCACACAAGTCTATGCACTAAATTCCAGCTCTCTAGCAATGGTTTGCACTCATACGGATAACGCTTGGCTTCAGAGTGGGGAAGTAAGAGGAGATTTTTTAGTGGTTAACCGGAAAATGTAATTCGACAAAACCCAACCGGAGTGACGTTCTGATTGACGTAGCATAAAGCTGCTTTACAAGCATGTGGCATCAGGTTCAGCAAGCGATGCCAAGCTCAGATGATGCATATTTCCAATAGATGAGTGCTCTCCTCATTGTGTCAAAAATGTAAGCTAATTACAGCAGCTTGCCACAGGAATCAAGGTATCTGCTTACTGAACTCTTCACAGACGGGCAGAGTGTGGTTTGGTTTACTTTCAATTTGTCGACATTGCGTTCACTTGATATTACTATATTAAATACACATTTCCATATGAACAACAGACTTTAATATGACTCGACTCTAGTTTCTCACACTTTTTCAGAGAATATATTGAAGCCGAACAGTCAGGCGCAGCTAGATTACATTAAAGACCGAGAGAAAGAGAGAGGGAGAAATAGAGAGTAGAGTCAAGTTTAGGTCTCTTAATGCTATATAACATGTACATATACATATATGAACTTTATGGCCTTGAAGTAGAGTTCATAAATGCATTACGGTAGCAATTGTCATGCCATTAGGTTTATTGATAATTTGTAGTTGGAGTACCGTTATGTTCGCAGATATTAGAAAGTTTGGGTCCATGTGATTTGCTTGCCATTTTTTTTTCTCAGCTCCAACAGCTGTTGGTGTCCTGTTTTTCTCTTGTCGTAAATTTAATGATGTTTTTATACCTAGAACCCATTGAAAATGCAAGCTTAGGGTATGCTGCTCTTTGGGAGTGTGTATGCGACAGAGGGAGGGAGGTGAAACAGATTCTGTAAAGTGAATATAGTTTAGATTAAGACGGCGGTCGAGTTGATTTAGCTCTAAGTACTTGAGCTTCTCTACGTCTTTCTAGCTGTTCGTCCATATGTCTGCTCGTCCTTCTACCCGTCCATCTGTACGCCCATTTGCGTGTCCTTTATATAACAATTATATATGTATATATTTTAAATGAAAACGGCGATCGAGTTGATCTAACCCTGAATGCCGTATTGTCTCTGTCTTTGTTCTCTTCGTCCGTCAGTTCGTTCGTTCGTCTTTCTATTCGCCCGTCCGTACGTTTGCCTTTCCGTCCGTCTGTCCATCCGCACCTTCTTCATTCTGTTCGTACGTTCGTCCGTTCGGTTTTCTATCCGCCCGTCCGTACGTTCGCCTGTTTGTCCGTTCGTAATTTCCACCATCTGTATGCTTCGTCTTTCTGCCTGCCCGTACATCTGTACGTTCGTCCGTCTTTTGCCTTCTATTTCTCCGTTCGGCGATCTGTTCGTCCTTACGTCCGTCTGAGTGCCTGCCTGTCGATTCGTCAACTCGTCCGTCCGGTGGTCGATCTGTCCGTTTACTCTTTTGCCTGTTAGTCCTTCTGTCCGTTCCGTCTGTCTTTCCATCTTGTGTGTTTATCTGCGTCTGTCTATCCGTTAGTTCGATCCTCTGTTCATCTGTTTGCCCGTTCGACCGTCCGTTTGAATTGCATGGAAGTGTATCCACTGTACAGGCACAGCTCTTCACCAAGTGCAGGGTAACTACCAGTCGTGCACTCCCGCCTAGAGCACTCGTGCTTGTACTTCCTTTGTTTTGTTTTTGTTTTTTTTTTTTCTGCGCATCTTCGCTAAGCCACTTGGCGTCTAATGAAGGCGTTGATGAGACGTTGGCGCTAGCTAGCTGCGGCGGCGTCTGCGTCAGCGTCAGCGTCGACGTCGGCGTCGGTGGCGGCCTGCAAGTGTGTCTAACGCTCTAGAAATAACATTTGTTGGTAATAAATTCCAAAGATAATACACCCACTGGCTCTATGCTGCTGTTGTGGCACAGCTGCCTCATGCCCCATGCCGCATGCCGCATGCCAACCAGAAAAGGCGGCCGCCGCCATAACTCGACTCAGCTATTTATTGCAGCAGCCAAGCGGCATCAGTTGCCAACTTGCTTGGGCCATGTTTTCTATTTCATGTTGTTGTTGTTGTTGCCTGGCACTAAGCTAAGCGCAAATATAAATTTGCACACACACACACACAGAGAGAGAGAGCCGCAGTCTTACACACACGCACATTGAAATATTACACCTGCAATTGGCGCGGCTGAGAGGCGTTTTTCACGCCCACACACAATAACACAAATAAACACCCCAACACACACACACACACACACACATACGCGCACATTTCTTGTTGCTAATGAGCCTATGTCTTTCTCGCTCTCTCTCTCTCTCACACACACACACACACACGTACATATAATGATGCGTTTATTAATGCCAGTCATAGTCTTTATTAACAAGATGAGCGCCCATCTAAACTAATTTTGGGTTTTTTAATTATCAAACATCATCTTGAGTTTCTTCATTCAATTATTTCCAGATGGGATCTACCTAGTTAAGGCGGCTATATGAGCCAAATACATTCGCTTTGCAACACTCAAGCCTCACTCTATGTGGCTGAGGCTGATTTTGATTGAATATACGGATAGAAGTACGGACGGATAAACTGGCCGGCAGGCGAGCGGACGGACCGCGAGAGAGGAACTCACGGTCCTAGGGAAATACGCACGAACATTGGGGGCATTGAATAGAGTCTATTTACTTAATTTAGCAGAAAGCTACTTACAATTTTGTATTTTCTAAATTTCTATCTATCTTTCTATCTATCTCTCTATCTATTCTTATCTATCTATCTATCTATCTATCTATCTATCTATCTATCTATCTGTCTGTCTGTCTGTCTATCTATCTATTTATCTATCTATCTATCTATCTATCTATCTATCTGTCTATCTATCTATCTATCTATCTATCTATCTATCTATCTATCTATCTATCTATCTATCTATCTATCTATCTATCTATCTATCTATCTATCTATCTAACTAACTATCTATCTGTCTATCTATCTATCTATCTATCTATCTATCTATCTATATATCTATCTCCCTAGACTAGATTTATTAAATATTTGTTTTCCTTATTTATTAAATATTTATTATTCAGTTAAGATTCCTCTGCACATTTAAGCCTTCTGCATACAATGGATAGTTGCGACAATAATTAAATATTACTGTAAGTCGCCTTTTTGCATGATGATAAATCTGTTGTTAATATAGTGCACGAACGAAAGTCACACGGCTGGTAGGTGGCATAATAAAAAGAAAACAATTTGATTTAATTAAAAAATTACGGGATTACACATATTAATGCTTGTCGAGCCAATATATATGCAAATTGCACACACAGTCGGACAGGATGGCTGGGCGAGGGCTGGCCGGGCTCCGGGATGACTATGGCGAGTGTCGCATATTAAAGAATATTTTANTGTATCTATCTATTCTTATCCATTTATCTATCTATCTATCTATCTATCTATCTATCTATTCTTATCTATCTGCCCATCTATTTATCTATCTAGCTGTCTATATATCTATCTATATCTATCTATCCGTCTATCTATCTATGCATCTATCTATTTATTCTTATCTATCTTTCTATCTATACATCTATCATTAAAATATCTATTCCCAACTATTTGATTGGTTAATAAACCTTTAGGCCATTCATAGACTTTTATTTACCTAAGCAGCGATGCCTGTTTAGAGCATTAAATTTTCGTCACGCCGAACGCTGACAATGCTCCAAGTGTCTTGTTCTACCGTCTCACTCTTTCCACATACCCCCCGCCAACAGCTACGCAGCATCCTCTCCACTCCCCCTCCCCCTCGCCTAGCTCATGCTAAGCTTTTGGTTTCGTTGTTTTTGGCGCTTTCTTCTACAACATTTGCCACTTACTCATAAGCAAATGGGCTGAGGTGCGGGGCGAGGGGCGGCCGAGAAGGGGGTGTATGTGTGTGATGCGTGTAGGCATGTGGCCTATGGAATGGGCACATGTTGCTTCATTTCAACACATAGCAGCAGTGGGAAGGGGCGGTGGTGGGGGATGCTCGTTGGCGCATGGGGCGTGTCATTAGGTTACATACATTCCTGTAATTACAATTCACCGAGGAGCCCACAATGCGCCATATGAGCCGCAAGCCGTAAGCCGAGAACCGAGAGCCGACAACCGAAAGGCGACTGAGCCAGGTCTTTTAATACGAGTATGCAAATCCAAAGAGGGGTAGGGAAGGGTGGGGGTGGGTGTGACTGTTCTTGCTGCTGCTGCTGGGTCATCGATGGCAAAGTTCACAGTCGTATGTAGATTGTCTCCGGCGTGTGTGAGAGAGGAAAAAAAGCCGTTCACCTTTTTGCCAGGCAACAACAAAATTATGTCATAAAATGTTTTTGCGTTCGCTGCTAATGTCGAGAGGCAGCGAGAGGGGCTGGTGGTAGG